AAAATATTGCCTTTTCAAACAATTTCTGACCAATTCAGGTTTCATTCGATGTTTTGCTCCTCTAATGTTAGCTGAAGAACCTGATGAGCAAATAGAGCTCATTGTTTGATTTTGTTTAATATCAATGATTTCAATACTTTTAAGTATTTTAAATTGCTGGATTAAATCGCACCTTAGCCTTCTAGTCTCCAAAGTAGTCAAACCCAAATTATTTTGCTTGTTGAAACATACTGTTGAAACATGGTTTTAATTTTGTTAATTTAATATGATGTGAAATTTACAATATTAATCATTTGTCAACAGTTAGAGAAAAGCTGGAACTTAATTAAGAAATGCTGGAAATTAACTTTTAGTCAAGGTAAAAATAATTTTGTTTATTGGAAGCATAATAAAACCAGTTACTGTTATTTATTGCATGACTTTTTTACTTTTTCTAAAATGCTGTTTTTAAAACACTTCCTCTCTCTCTCATAGATGAGACTTAAATAAGAATTAGTATTCAGAATTGTAGAGAGAGAAATGATTAAACTCTGTAAATACTGAGCTCTTGCGTATTTTTTAATACTGCGATTGATAATTTGCTATATAAAGATATAATTCTTTAAATTGTCTCTTGGTTGTTCAAATATTGTAATAAATAAAATCTTTTAGTTTCAAGTATTTTTTTTTAGGGATCGTCTATATATTACCATGGCGGCCACAGTTCTGGAATGTCCTTGAAAATTATATTTTTTTGAAAAATGTCCTGAAATGTCCTGGAACTTTTTTTTTTCTGAGTCAAGTTGAAAAATTACTAATTATATTGAAGTAATATTAAATTTTTTATGCGAAAATTTTTTTTAATCAAATGGTTTGAATTTAATTTTAAATAAGATAGTAATAATAATATAATAATATAATATTCTATTCTATAATTCAATCAATATGAAAAAAATATAACGTAAAGATAATTGATAGTATTCATTTAATAAGATATAAAATGTCCTGGAAAACGCAACAAAATGTCCCTGCTCGACAACCTTCAAGTCTGTTATTTCAAAATGTTTTCAGTTTTATTCCATGAGAAGGATTACTTTCCGAGACACTAAACCCTTTGGTAATCTTATTAATGTTCTTTAGAACAGCTTCTAAGGTTTATTCTGATGTTAAACCAAGAAAATAACAAATATAAATTTGTTTGATCGTAAATTAAATTTTTTCGTTTGAAAGGTATTTGTACTCAGTTGCGTAGTTATTTATAATAATCTTTGTTATTTTTAATAAATTTATTTAAATGTGTGCATTTAACATTTTTAAGTTAACAATTTTCTTTTATAAAGAGCAATTAATCAAGGGGATACCAAAAAATTGATAACTCCTGTATAATATAAGTTAACTTCATTTTAATCTTAATGGTTCGTATTATAAAAATTATTACAAGGGTTTAGTTGATACTTTCGTCAATTTAAAGCATGACCAAGTGTTATCATTTTGTGTCAGTAACTAAAAACGTATTGTGTTAAACTTAGGAAGGTCGATGAAAATGGTTCTGCCTTACACTGTTATGACCTATGCCATTTGTAAATTACTCTAATAATGTTAAGTAGTAATTGTAAATGTTAAATAGTAGTTGGTAAATTATTTTACCTCCTCATACTTTTTATGTTAATTTTACAGATGGATTAATTTTTTCAAGCTGAAGGCGATTTTCTAAAAAGGTATTAGTTAAGGTTTTGCAACATTAAATTGTGGAAAACAGCAACAATAAATTAATTATGTAACAGACCAACCAAAACCCGTATTACGGGTTGCTTTTTGCTAGTTTATAATAAATAAGCAAGATATTAAATATTATAATAAGGTGTCAATTTACATTTATTGTATTGCTTAAATCATGGTTAACTAGTATTGTGGTGCACCATTGAATGTTCTTGATGTTGATGTTTTCTTGGATTTGAATGCAAAATACTATCTGATATTTCCTTGACAACTGACATCAGTAGATAATTAATTTCAATAATAAAGTAATTTGAGTTCGTTGTTTCTGGATGATAAGATTGTAAAATGCAGTATTTAAATTTTGTATATAGTAGTTCAAGCTGAGTCTGTACATAATATTGAGGTTGGTATTTTAAATGGATTAATAAACTGTCACTGTTTTTCGCTCGTGTTTAAATTTCCAAAATAATTTGATGGGAGACAAGGCTATCTGGACTTGCTCCATAATTTAAATTATCTGGGTGATAAGAAAAAACATTTTGGGAGAACATTTTGATATCTTTGCAAACTGTTGAAGAGCGTGGACATACTTTGACTCATTGTTAAGTCAACGCTCTAAATTTTTAATGTTTTGAGCGTCATAAAAACCATTTACTATCTTCCAGAAACTTCTAAATTTTCCCTGCCCAAATATCCCTAGCAATGCTGGTAATCGACTCCCTGTTATTTTTCCTTAAGTAGTTTGTTTGACATTAATATGTTAAATATATGTGTATTGTCTTTGTGTTGGTATGAGGTTTGTTAAGTTAATATGAGTTACTAGATGCTTATTTAAAAATTGCATACTAATTTATTCTAAAACAACATCTTGTTCAGGGGAAATTAAAATTACTACTTTACATTTATGGAATTTAATTTATCAATTTGAGAGTTAAAACTTTCACGGTCATACCTAAATCTTAAATGCCCCATTAGTTATGATTCATATCCTAGATCTATTGAACAAAGCGTATTATATACGTATTTTTCAAAATTAGGTTCCTTATTCAGCAGTTCTTTAATTTTTTGCTTCATTTTTAAAATATTTTTTTTAAAAGATAAACTTTCTGGACCTGCTGGAAAAATTTTTAGGTTTTCAATTTAGTTTTTGCTTCTTGCTGATTTAAGTTTAATATTACATAGTGGGACCATTGGAATAGAGCCTTTTTTTGATCTTTTATGCCATTTCTGTATTACTTTTGTGCACGGTAATTCTAAAATTGTTGTTTTCGTGTCCACATAATGCTTTAGGTAAAAAAGGCTAGCAAAGTCCATAAGGCCAACAGGATATTCGAATCAACCTTTAAAGGGTGTCCCATCTAAAAAAAGTAAAATAGCAGGACATACATCATGGTTATAAGATTTTCTTATAAAAGCTCTTACATATACCCTGTTGCTATCTAAATGTGTTTTAACAGATATAATTTTTCTGCTAGTTAACATCTGGTAAGCTTTTTGCTACTGTCCAAATGTACCCTCTCTTTTATTAAGAATGCATTCTTTAAATAGTTTAGATTTTAAATTAGGGTAGAAGTTTTCATTGTCAGTCCATTAGAAGTTTTCATTGTCATACCACACATATTTTGAGATATGTGTGGTATCTCGTCTACATGCAAACTTGTTGAGATTAAGAAATTTTTTTTTTGCTTTTTAATAAGGTTTTTTAACTAATTTTGGATATGATAAGAACTTCAAAATTCTTGCTTGCAATTCTTTAACTGAGCCTGTCATACCAAGTCCGTGGTTTACAAGCCATTCAACACAAACCTTTCTTGAAGCTGTTGAAATGTTTACAACATTTATATTTAACTACATTTACAAATATGCTTTCAAAACAGTATTAAATTAAATTAACTTTTACTTTACTTGGTTTCGCTTTACTTTAAACTTTATATTGCTTTACTTTATATCGCTTTACTTTAAATTTTAATTCGCTTTACTTTAAACTTTATATCGCTTTACTTTAAATTTTATTTCGCTTTATTTTAAATTTTATTTCGCTTTACTTTAAATTTTATTTCGCTTTACTTTAAATTTTATTTCGCTTTACTTTAAATTTTATTTCGCTTTACTTTAAATTTTATTTCGCTTTACTTTAAATTTTATTTCGCTTTACTTTAAACTAATATATCATGTAAACAAAAACAATAATATTTTTTTGTCGCTAAGGCTCAATTACTAGTACACAGACCTTCCCGTATGAAAGTGGGCAATTCTCATTGTTTCTTCGCTAAAATCTTCGTTATCAAATATATTTTTTCGTTTTATCTTACGAGCGTTTGTTAAAATTATCTTTTTATCTTGCCAATTGAGTATTTTGCAGACAATAGTCCATGGTCTTCTTTCTAACTTTCCAACTCTATATGCATTTGTAAAAGACTGTAATAGACTTTATTTTAAGGCCCTCTTTATAAGGGTTTTTTTCAATACATATACATTAGTTTCGTTTACTCCTTCTTTAATGCCTAATATTTTTAAATTATTTTGTTTGGTGCGATCCTCAAGCGTAAACTTTTTCATAAGTCCGCGGTATTATTATTTTTTATTATTTTCTTTTTTAAGTTTATTTTTTATTGATTTCAATTAAATTACAAACAATTAGATAATACATAAGTATGACGTCAGCGTATTGATTGTATTATTCACTATTATTGATTGTATTATAATTCGCTGTATCAGTCAAAAAGTTCTAAATCAATGTATAAAGCTTCAAATTGATAACGTTTTTTTTATTATCGTTAACTGCAATCATCGCTATTGTTCTTTGAAAAAAAAAAGTTAAATATGTAATACCCGAATGAAGTTTTGTAAGATTTCGTATTATAATGAAAAAGGCGCAAAAATTAATTTAAGAAAATTCATTTTCAAATACAATTTTTATAGCGAAACTGTTGAACACTTCCATCATGTAGACATTTTTTGACAATCGGTTCAAGTTATTTTACATGATGTTTTTTCAAATAATAATGTTAATGCATTTTAGCTATACACATGAAATCAAACAAATCTAGCCATATAAAATTATGAGTTAGAGCGAGATTCTATATAATTCAATAGTTCTCAGTTAGAGTGAGAACCAATAACTTTAATAAATATAACACAGTTAATTTTTTTTTTTACAAATTATGTTGTTGTAAGATTTAAGTCACACAGAATTCTAAAATTGTTAAAGAGATAATCTTACTTAAAAGACTTTAATTTACTAAACGAATTTCCTTTATTCCTTATGCCAGTAGAATTGATTTTGATTTTTGATTGAAATAATTGTGAATAAAATTAAATCATCACAAATCATTTTAAAAGTTTACAAGTAGTAGTGGTTAAAAACAAAGTTGATCAAATCTGCTTAAAAGGTAAGATTGTTCTTGCTTTACATATAAAGCATATAAAAGAATATAGTCAGAATTATATTTAAAGTAAGCTGATAGATATTTTGATATCATTAAGTCTGAAACACTGTTGATAAATATAAAAGTTATTTTAAAATATTACTTTGCGGTTTATATTTAACTTATATTTGATTTATGCGCGTTTACTAAAATTGCATTATAAAGTTTAAATCAAAAGTTAAAAAAAGTCATCCAGTTGTTAAATTTAGTTAATAAATTTCCAATATCGAATTTAATTATGTTAAATTTCATTTTGGATGCATTTTTTTAAATTTAACTTTGTTTTAATTTTTATTAACTTATTAATTAAAAAGAAAAACTATTGGTTTTTAATAGTTTTGTTAACTATGTAAATAGTTTTGTTAACTTAGTCTGATATAAGATCATTAAAGTCGGACATATATTCGATTTTCATAGCAAAAAAAAAAGTTTAAAAATCAATATTTCTGAGACACGAATCGATGTCTATTAATTATAAGATGAAAGTAAAAAAAATATTTTTTGGTTTTGATGAGATCTTGAGGTTCCTTTTTGGATTCTAAATCCTTGACGGATCCTAATATTTTTGAATTTTTTTTTTCTAAACAATATCAACCTTGGACTCAAAAAAAGCAGAAAAAAATGCTTGTTTTATCAATAATAATTTTATTAAAAAAAAAATTTTAGTGAAAAAAATATTTGCAAAAATATACCTTAAAACCCCCGTTTTGATAAAGACGGAAAAAAAAAAAAAAACGAAAAAAAGAAAAAACGACATTATTTTTTTTTCTTCAGTTTTAAATAAAAACAAATATTATATTCAAAATAAGCGTATTATTCTGCTTCTTTTGAGTACCAGGTTAATATAGTTTAGAAGAAAAAAAAAATTTCAACAATATTAGGATCTGTCATAAATTTAGAATCCAAAGAGGAACCTCTAAAACTCATTTATATTAAAAAAAAAAAAAAAAAAGTAAGGCACGTTTTTTACCAAAAGACATCGATTCGCAGCTCAGGCAAATCAAATTTCAAAAATTTTTAAAATCGCTTCACCCTAATATATATGTTATATAAGTTAATCAGATAGAACTTTTTATAAACTAGATTTAGCGATTTAAAGTTTATAAGTGATTTTTTAAAACGGGTTGTTTATTTTTTGAAATTAAAGATTAAAAAAATCACGTATTTAAAAAATACAAATAATAAAAAGGAAGAAAGTTTTCAATAGAATTTTTTATAAACTTTTGAAACATATGGCTTATAGAAACTCTATAGAATTTCTATAGAATGTCTTTGAATTTCTATAGAAATTGCTATTAAGCTTTTTTTTCTATAAAAAAAAAAAGTAGAAAAAAATTTCAATAGGAATTTTTATAAAAGTTAACTCTATAGAAACTCTATAGAAATTCTATAAAATTTAATAGAATTTCTATAGGCCATATGTTTCAAAAATTTATATACAATTGTATTAAACTTTTTTCTATAACTTTTTTCCAAGGATTATAACCTCAATCTAAACGGAATTATTATTCAATTCAGAACCAAGAACCATTTTTTCCGAAAAGAAAACTTCAGCAAATCAGTTCAGAAAATCAGTTCAAAACTGATTCAAAACAGTTTTTATTGAACACAGATTTTGATTTATTTTGTAATAAGTTTTTTTTTTTTTAAATAGATTTTTAAAAATATTGATTAAAAACTTAAAACAAGCTAACTATTCCTTGTAATCATTTGTAAATCCTTCTTTATGTAGAAAAAAAACCTAGAGTAGGCATCGAACCATAAATCAGTGAAGGATTCAGTATTTTTTGGTGTTTGAGATAGCTTACAGGCACGGCGCAATCTCAAAACATTTGCATGTTTATACTTATGTCAAATAATGATGCTTTGCAAAATATTGCTATGATTGGAGGCTGGGAAAAAACATCTTTAAAATTTTTTCCCGCCTGCTCCAAACCTGAGAGCAACAAGTTGGTAAAATAATGTTTTTGCCTTTTTTTAACTAAGTTTACATTTATAGATAAATTTTAATTTTCATAGCATTATCTCAAAGTTTGAAAATTTTAGACCCTAATACCAAAAACAACTTCTATGATAACCCTTTTGAGGGGTGTGTGAGTACATATCATAGGGATCTCATAACAAGTAATTTTGAAATCCGAGATTACCGTCCGCAAGACTTATACAACATTAAAGTTTTTGCTTTTAAATTACGAAACCTGAAAAATTGCAAAATTCCTCCAAAAATATTGGGCTGCCCTAAATTACCATATTACGAAGTATAAAGGTAACAAATGATAAAAGTACATCTTAAAACTTATTTATTTATTACAAAATAAATACATTCTAAAGATAAACTAATAAATTCTCAAAAATGCAACATGTTCATTAATGGCCAGTGCCTCATAGCAAGCTACTCTACATTTTCTTGCTGTTATAATCAATGACAAACTTTAGGAGTTGACTGGAGTAGTCTGGATGGGTGTTCAATCTTTTGTATCGCTCCCAATGCTTGCCAAAATTCAAATGCAGTGCTTCAGTGGCTTGTTCACTGTATAGACCAAGGCTTTTCTTTTTCAGCTTGATGAACTGTGTCGCATGGTGGAAAACAGTGTGAACCTTTGGAGTAACAGAGATTCCCAAACTCATGTAACTGTTTTTGAAGATGGTGATTTTTTCCTCATAGTTGGGATGTAAAGTTTTTCCAAAGCATGCAAAGACAACTTCGTGAAAGTCTTTGAATGTCTGAATGAATTGAGAAGGCTCAGAAGTGCTCTCATTTTCAGCCATTTCAGCCAATTTGTCAATTTTCTTCAGAAGCATCATGCAGTCATTGCAATTGAAGTGCCCTCCATGAAAAGGCCGAATCTTAATGTGCAATGAAGTTGGCCATTCTGTGGTCTTTGGCCATTTTTGCACTAAGCATTTGAACAGATGGTTGAACACCCCTAGCAGAAGATGAAGCTCTATAGGTGGGATGAACTCCAAAATCAGTGCTTGATCAGGACCAGAGATTAAAGGACTGTGGACAGCATTTTGGAACTCCTTGGAACTTCTTACATCTCCGCCACTACCCACAAAGCTTTGATGTTGAGCTCTTATAGCTCTAAAGTTTCAAGGATTCCCACACAGAAGAAGCTTTGAAGACTCAAAATCACACCAACAGCAAGGGTGCTTGCTGCTATGAGAAATAATGTTTGCAAGTTTCATATCGCAAGAAATTACTGCAGCTTCTGATGGGATTAGTTCTTGAAGCTTGATGAGTCGAAAAATCTTTTGCACATTCCAATAATTTTTAGGAGTGTCATCAGCAACAGCCATAAGAAATTGCTTTATCACACTAGTTTGCTTTGAGACTTGTGTCGTGAGTTTGGCAGATTTTTGGACAGGACTGTGGGGCTCTAGGTTGTTTTCTTCCTCATCAATAACTCCAATGCTCACTTTTAAAAATGACCCTCCTCCATCAATGCCTATCTTTGCAAAGGCAGTCTTTGAGAAGCCAATTTATTCTTCAATCCTGTCTTTCAAGGCCTTAATGCTTTTGCAATGAACCACAACCATGTTTTCTCCAGAATCCGAAAAAAAGTAAAAAAGTCTTGCAATTTTTGTCTAGACTCAGCAACCTTTTTTGAAAGTTTGGTTCAACTAATTTTGTTGGGCTGATATGATTAATGAACGATCCAAGTTTCCTCATTCCGTTGTTAGACAATCCTGTATTCTGTTGAATTTGAACCATATCCCCTGTTGAAAGTCTGGAAGGAAAAAGCTCTTGAGCAACAACACCACCTAAAAAAACGAAATCTATTAGCATTCTCTAAAGAAGAATGTGGTAAGTATACATTTTATCTTTTCTAATTGGAAGATGCATCCCACTCAATTGACTAAGTCGAATTGTTCCTCTAGGACATGCTTCCTTGGATGCAACAATGGAAGATGCAACTTGTTCAGCTCCTTTAGGATTTGACAATGCCAGTTGCTTTAAGTTTTTATGGCGTGAAGCAATTGTGCAATGATGAGAAAGGCCTCGTGAGAGAGCAGACAAACATTTTGTACAACGTTTTTCTGAACTTTTAGGTGGCTGACTCGTTGTTGCAGGCTGGTCTTTTTGCTCAAGTGGGTGAGTTTCTTTACCTTTGAGCCTCCTAATTTGGCAGATCAAACAATCACAGGTGTTTGAACTTCGAGTTGCCAGTTTTATTTGGATGTCTTCAAACCTGTACAATCTTGGTTTACACGTCTTAGGATCCCCATCTTCAAGCTTTTTCAGTTTAAAACGACATGTCTGACATGAGGCAAGAAAAACTCTGTTCAGGTCATTCTTGATGAGGCGCTGAATCCTTTGCTTTAAAAAGTCCGTCAGAACTTGGTCTCCTTTCTTCATGCAGATAATGCACACAAATTTTTGACAATCCTCATGGATTTTTGCTGAATTGGGCATTTTTGATGCACATTCTACGAATTTTTCTTCAAAACTATGATATTTATGCAGCCCTTTCCCGGAAAACAATCGCCGTAATTTTGTTGACATTATTTTGGTGATAAGAATTTAAAAAAATCACACTGGTGTTTTAAAATACACCAAATACCATCAAATAACACTTTCTTAACCTTTTGATACTTGTTATATTTAGAAAAGTTGTGTAAACTTATGTCAGAAAAATTTTTCAGTAAAAGTCACAGCGTTTCATTAAGATAAAACTAATAAAGTCAAATAAGTTTTGCGGACGGTAATCCCTGATTTCAAAATTACTTGTTATGAGATCCCTATCATATGTACTAACACCCCTCAAAAGGGTTTTCATAGGAGTTGTTTTTGGTATAAGGGTCCAAAATTTTCAAACTGTGATCTCTCAGTGTTCATAAATTATGACCATATAAAATTTGAATCCCCCTCAATTTGAGGGGTTACCAATTTTATATGGTCATAGTTTTTGAACGCTTCGAGATTGTAAAACAATACTTAAAATTTATCGATGTATGTAAAT